CGGCAGGCGGACTCCCAACCACTGCGCCACCAGGGAAGCCCTGAACTCACCTTTTTAAAAGTGGTTAAGAGGAGAATCTTTACTTTAAAACCAAGGTGCTCTGATGAAACCTGAGATCACATTATGAATTTTAAAGTGATACTATATAAAGAATCCATTAGGATAAACACGGTAGAATGAGATAGTGATTTATCTTCTGTGACATAATAACTAATAAATAGCATAAAATTAACTGTACTCAGAACTAGAACCTTGTTTCTTTCCTTTGGTCAACAAATGGAGCACCTAATATTTGAATAATATCTTATTACATATGCCAGAGAATAAATAAAAGAATAAGAGTGTTAGGGTTATAAGATCTTGCTCTTAGAGCTTATGATTTCTTTTGAGAGAAAAGATTTGTATGTTTATATAAATGCAATAGGAGAGCACATGCCAAGCAGCAGTCTACTAAAAGACAGCAATAGAAATTCCAAACATGAGATCATGGTGGGCTGGGATGGAGTAAATCCTCTACTAAGAAGTATCTCATTCACTGAGTTTCTTCTTAGAAGTGGGTGGACAAGGCCTTGCTTACATTTATCCTCCTTTTCCTACCTCCTTTTTACCCTCTACCCTGACTTGTACTAGTTCATTGGCCTGGGTGTGCCTTCAAATGGTGTTTATTGAATTGAATTACTTTACCTCCCATGTTGTGTTAGTGATGTTTAAGATGTTCCATTCCATAATTATCCTTTTTTTTCATTCTACTTCTCTGCTTTCTGAATATTTTTCAATGAATACATATTTTTTATTTTAACTAAAACACACACACATGAAGATGTTCATACCTATTGTGGGAAAACAAAGTCCAGCCTTTTGAAGATACATGTGAAAAATAAGAAAAATTTTTTTTACTCTCTTGAAGTGGGTTCTGTTAGGAGCTTTTCCAGTGTACTTTAAGATGACCAGCAGCTTCTTCTGAATGGCTATCCTGAGCGACCTTAGAGATTAAAATAAGTGGATTATGTGGCATGAGGATAATAACGAGCTATTGATTTAGGGGCAAAGCTTTGCTCATAGTTCCTTATTTCTCCATCTGCCTGATGCCTTTCAAGAACTGCTTTATCGTGTTTCTTTTCTTTCAGCGGAACGGAAGCCCCCTCTTTTCAACATGAATGCAATGAGTGCCTTATATCACATTGCCCAGAACGACTCCCCCACATTACAGTCTAAGGAATGGTAAGACTGAGCTGTTGCTTTAAATTTCTAAGAGAAATCACCATATGTATTTGGCACTTTCATTAAATTACACTTTAAATATCTGACCTAGAAAGCATTTCATTCCTTCATTGTATGTTGTGATAACTGACACTGATGCTTTATAAGCCTGAACTTTCTACACACACACACACACACACACACACACACACACACACTATATTTCTACCCTCACTATGGCTTCTACTGTGTTCTTAATGTGTGTAGCAATTGAAATTCTACCAGGTACATGCCCTGCTACCTTCCTAACCAGTCTAGTCTCTTAAGTCATGATGGTTTTGTACTGATCACCTCAGTCTTATCACTTCCTAGCAAGGATAAAGTATCCTCTCTGATGTCATTATTTTTCTAGTTGTCATTTTTTTTCTTTACTATATGTGTATTTAAATGTGTTGAGACAGAACATATACTATCTATTCAGAAGATATATTGTTCCTTGCTGAAAATTATGACATTTTGCTAACTATTGGGGTCACAGAGTTATAGAAAAAGGGCAATGTCAAAGAAGAGTAGACAAAATGGAATTTTCAAGAGAGAAAGTGTTTTCATCCAGAAAGCATATTCCTAGGTTCTCTGTCCCTTATGCTTCAAGTTTTACTACCTGGTTATAAGTTGTGAGTAATGGAAGAGTTGCCAATTGGTCATGAAGAATATAGGCTTAAGACTTATGAGAGTTGTTATCTTTGGAGAGAAAAATGTGTATAAAACCGTTGTATATAAATATAGTATTTTTCATTCTATGATATAACGATTTGACCTTGCTTATATGTTGACTAACTTGAAACTGTCCACATTCATTATCCAAAAGAATTAATTTTAGATACCTTAAACTTGAAAATGGTTCCGTTCTCCTGACATTCCAAAGTATTTTAATAAAAAATCTCCTAAAATATAAAAATTTCCCTTGGATGAAAATTATTTAAAGTGATCAGTATGTTCTACAGACCCTGATTTTATTTTCTTTCAATGTATTTGCACACACAGGACAGACTCCTTTAGGAGATTTGTTGATTACTGCTTGCAGAAAATGCCTCAGGAAAGGCCAACATCAGTGGAACTATTACGGGTAATTTTTCAAGTTTATATTTGAGGAGGGGGATTTAAAGTCATGTTGTAGTGGAATATAGTAAATCATTCCCGTGGCAGCTCATCATGACAAACTGGATTAGAACATACTGCCTTGTCATTTATCCAGAGATAGTAGCTAGGCATAGAAGTAGCAAGATATGTGCTATATGTTCCCCACAGAAAGTTTTTCCCCCATCTTTTCCCCTTTTCTTTTTTCTCCCCCTTCTTTTTGCCTTGTGACAAAGATATTTCTCCTTGCTTTGGTCATCATTGTGATGTTCCTGTGACTGATATCTGCATGAACTTTAATGCAATGTTTTCAGGACAGAGACTGCCAGTGATTCGAATACCAACTCTGGGATTTCAGTTAGGTTGTTGTCAAATCATCAGGCAATGAAGATATGTGATAAACATATAAAACAGACATTTTCATAGCATTGCATCACACATGTTAATTGCATTCATCTGATTTAAACATAGCATTTTTGGGCTTCCCTGGTGGCGCAGTGGTTGAGAGTCCGCCTGCCGATGCAGGGGACGCAGGTTCGTGCCCCGATCCGGGAAGATCCCACATGCCGCAGCCACGGCCGCTGAGTCTGCACGTCCGGAGCCTGTGCTCCGCAACAAGAGAGGCCACAACAGTGAGAGGCCCGCGTACCACAAAAAAAAAAAAAACACATAGCATTTTTGAGCATCTCTTTTCATGTAACATTTCATTATAGGCTTTATATACATAGGCAATGTGTTCCATTAATATCAGTGAAGTATGTGGGAGTCTTTTACAATATAAGTATCTTTTATTGGCCACAGAATAGTCCAGGTTACTTTAATCTTTTCTGCGTATGTGTTTTTCAGCACTTTTTTGTTTGTTTCTTTGTTTGTTTTAAGAAAAACTCAGGATTGTATTGCCTAAATTTGTGACGGTTAAAAATGTCAGCTGCCTTTATAATTGCACCTTGGCTAAGTCACAGATTCTTGGTTTACATTTTCTTTTTCTCAGAACTCTTATTCTGTTATTTTCTGGCTTTGAGTGTTCCTGAAGAAATAGGTCTGAAGCTGACTAGTTTTTCTACCCAGAAGTAAGTTTTTTCTTCTTGTGAGTAACAGGCCACAACAATATGGTGACAGAAGCAACAAGGCAATGGACTCTACCTTATTCTCTTTTGGTGTAGAGCTATCACATGTTCTAGACATGGACTACAGACAGCAGAACACCAGAAACACAGATAATATGTTTATTACTTTGAAGTAGACAAAGATTTAAAAAGCAGGACACAAACAGCACTTCCATAAAGAGAAAAAAATTATAAATTTGGGCTATAAATTAAGGAGAAAAAAAAATCCTCAAAGAAGAGATACTACAAGCATTCAAAGATGATATTTTAGGGCAACAGACAACAAAAGGATATAAAAAACAAATGGGCAGAGGTAAAGAAAGAAACGAAAGAGAAAAATTTAAAAATAGATTAAGGGACTTCCCTGGTGGTCCAGTGGTTAAGACTTTGCATTCCCAATGCAGGGTGTCCAGATTTGATCCCTGGTCAGGGAACCAGATCTTGCATGCCACAACTAAGAGCCTGCATGCCACACTAAAAGATCCCACACACGGCAATGAAGATCCCACGTGAGATCCTGCATGCCACCACAAAGACCCAGTGCTGCCAAATAAGTATATTTTTAAATAAATAAATATAGATTAAAATCATACCATAAGCAATGAACTAATATAATAAACCAACCCATTTAGGGTGTTTCCAATGGTAGATAGTCTTAGGGAAATAAAATTAAATGCAAAAGAAAATTTTCAAAAGATGATTATAGAGAACATGACACATGTGGAAGACAGGGGAGATATATATTCCAACCTATTATTCCTAAAGAAGAAAGCAAAACACATGGAACAGAAGATACTTAAAGATATACCTGAAGAAAACTTTTTTGGAAATAAATGTTTGGATCGTTATTTGATTTGATTTACTCTTTATTTGGTGGGCCAAGTCAAGTGAGCCTACCATTTAGTCAACAATGTTTACTGATTGTCTTACTGTGTGCCAGGCACTGTTCTAAGCACTGAAAATCATGTGATCACATGATCACAGTGATACAAAGAAAATGATAGTTCCTGCCCTCCTGGAACTTATATACTAATGAAGGAGTAAGAAAACAAACAAATGATTTGATATAATGTCAGAAAAATAAAGCAAGGACTGGGATAAAGAGTAGAACTTTACAAAGTTCTAAGGAAAAGAAAATGTAAACCAAGGATTTGTGACCCAGCTAAGGTGCTCTTCAATTTATAAAGGCAGCTGATGTTTTCAAGCCTTTTCTTCTCTTAAAAGCTTCTTCTTAATTACTCAGTAGCAAAATCCAGCCAATCTATTGATGAAACAAAGAGCAAGAGAGAAAGAGAAAGGGACGGAGGGAAGAAGGAAGAAAGAGTGAATTAGGAACTGGGGAAACTTGTAAAAGAACTGGTGGTGAACATTAAATTTAAGTTTGCTCTCTGATATTTATTACTTATTTATTTACTATTTATTTATTTAGCATCGTAAAGAGACTACATTCTTCATTTTGGATAGACAGTACACATTTTAGAAGATAAAAAAAATAGTGGAAGGGAGAGAATGAAAAGTAAATCTTCCCCTTCCAGGCCCTTCTCTAGAGTTAGCAACCGGTGTCACTAATTTTGTACATGTCCTTCTAGAGATATTCTACGTATATGGAAGTAAATATTCTTTTTTATTTTTGCACCAGTGGTAGCAAACTATAAACGCTGGATATTTTTTTTAACTTTATAGTGTGTTTTGAGTATTGTTCCATATTACTACATGAAGAACTATCTCATCCTCTTTAATGGCTCCATTATATACTCAAATGGACTGTAGTTTTTATAACCAACTCATTTATGGTGTTTGCAGTCTTTTGCTATGACAAACTGTGCTGGAATGAATATCCTTACACAGGTGTCATTATGTACCTGTATATACAGATATCCAAAGAATAAGTTCTTAGAAGTGGAATTGCTAATCAAAGGGAATGTGGATTTTAAATTTAAATAAATATTGCCGATTTTCCACCAAAGAGGATGCCCCAATTTATGGTCCATTAACAAAGTATGAGTACCAAAACTTTTTGAGCTTCTAGTCAGATCAGTGAAAAACTTTTCTCACTGTCATTTTAGTTTGTGTTTCTCATTGTGGATTAGACTATCTTTCATATGTTGACAAGCCATTTCTATTTCCTTTTCTATGAACTCTCTACAGTCTTTGCCCATTTGTCTGTTGGGTTGTTGGGTTTTTCCCCTTATTAATTTGTAGTAGATCTTGCAAATATTTTCTTCTTATTTCTCTTTTGGTATTCTTTATTATGGGCTTTTTTGGAGAGGTCATGCAGAAATCTGTTATAAGGAATTCAACTTTTTTTTTTCTCCAGTTGGATATCTTGCTGTTCCCAAATACTTTTAAATAATCCATCTTTTTGTCACATTTTCTTCGTGATGTTAAAATGTCACCTTCACATAGGATTAATTTAAATAGAGACCTACAGTAAAATCATTGCTGTGGTCAAAAAGCAGAATGTAAAACTTATAAACATTGACAGTGTAAAAATTGAAAATGTAAAAATAATGTAACTAGAAAAAAGTAGGGGTAAGAAAGAAATGTAAATACTAATTTTCCTGCTTTTCAGGGTAGATGGTCAATAAATTCTTAAACTGAAAGTCTTTTTTAAGTAACTCTTATGTCTTAAAGCTTTTCATAACCTTCCCTTAACTTTAGAGGACCCTTTAGGAACTGGTAACTCTTGGTGAAGAAATTATAACTAATGTTAAGCAATTATCTTACTTCAGACATGTCTAATTCTGTTAAACTCAAATACACCTTAATTTAATAGATTATTCTTTAAATTACCATGTGTAATAAGTTTCTCATGTAAAATTATTTCTGGGTATCCATCATTCTGAGAGAGTGAGAGAGAGAGAGGGAGGGAGAGTGTCTAAAATGTTATTTCATGACTTAATATTTATTTTTGGATGGTGGAATTTTGAGTGATTGACTTTCTTTTATGCATTTCTCTATTACTTAAATGTTCAAAGTAAACATATTTCCAAGAACAAAGAAAGCATTCTTTGAAAATGATCTGAGAACCTTTTAACTGTATGGGTTTAGAGAACAGTGAGGGGGTGGGATTGCAGGCAGAGAGAACGAGAGCGAAGACATGCAGGTGTGAAATGCACGGCACGAGGCAAGAATGATTTAGACGTAGGATGCATTGCGTGGGAAGGAGAATGAGTGACTAGATTGGAACCTAGACATTCAAGCAGGAACCCCCTGTAAAGGGTCAGACTTTACGATGGAGGCAGTGAGATGTTTTTAAGACATTGAGTGTATCAGTTTTAAAATACTTAAACAAGTAAGGGTTTAATTACCTCACGCAATAAGAAGTCCAGGACATTGGGAAAGCAGTCCAGTGATGTAAGCAGCTCAACAGCTCCTCCTGTCTCCCTACTTTACCATCCTTAGTATGTGGCTTTTGTCTTCTTGGTCATAAAATGGCCCCCCATCTCCAGGACTCAGTTTTATTCCTGGCGAGAGAAAGGCAGGGCACAGAGCAAAACAAACGCCTTCTTTTCTTGTGTCTTGCTTTTTATTCTGGAAAACAAAGCCTTCCTCTGGAGCTTCTGCCTATATCTCATTGGCCAGAACTATTGGTCATGCTATTAACTGCAAAGAAGGGTGGAGTCCAACTCTTTTACTTTCTACTGCTTGCAAGAAAGGAAGGTGAGGAAAAGAGGTTGGAATGGAGGATAAATGGACCACAGTGTCTGTCACAACAAATGATATGGTCAAATAAGTGGTAGAACACCTGAAAACAAACCCCCAGATAAAGAAACCTGGGTTGCAGCTCTAGCTCTTCCACTGTTTAGCTGTGTAAATCACTTAACCTCTCTGGGCCTAAATTTCCTCACCTTGGAAATAAAAGAATTTCTAAGAGCTATTCCTGCTCTAAAATTCAGTATCCTAGGTTATAGCTTGAAGTTTACTAAAAACTGATTTGCTCTTATCTAATTGCAAGCACTGGAGTAGCAAAATAATTTATTTTCTCCCTTTCGTTCTCCTCTTGAAATATGCAGGCTACACTTCCTTCTGGGAATGGTGTTTCATTTTCAGAAAGGACTCTGCATAGGAGGAGATATTTTATAAAAACGGGAGCAAAAGCCACAATTCCCCGGACAGCAAAGTCAGGGTGAAGAACCACAAGACATACAGATTTTTTTCTCACAGTGGTCCTGCTCCTCTTATATCTGTTTAACTTATAAAGAAATTAAATCTATTCCATCATCTAAGGCTACCACATTCCATCTCATTTTCCCAATATCTTCAAATTATAATTTCACATAAGTGAATTTTCCACATAACTGAAACTTTTCCTTTAAAAAACAAAATTCCCTCCTCCTACTTTTGATCATTTTCTGTGGTAATCTTGTGAAAATATATGATATGCTTCTCTGCCTTCTTGAAGAAAGCGTAATGAATATAATTTCATTTCTTGATGGCTCAGAAACAATAGCATTTCGCGAAGTCTTGTAGTATAAAAGGACCGTATGAAGAGCGTTTGCCCCTTTGCAAACTAGCCCACAGACCTTGGTTCATTCTTATTCAGTTGGTTGGTTGGTGTGTTAATCATGGACTTGCCCTCTCTCTATTGTCGGGCAGTCAGAGAACTTTCAAAGGACTCTTCTTTCGGCAATAAGTAACCCTCTAACAGTTCTCAGTCCTTTATTCTCCCACTTTTGTTCCCTCTTTCTGAATGCTGCAGACTGAGAAACCAGGAAACCAGAATATATCTTAGAGATCGTTGATAATATTGAAAGTGAAGCCCATTCATACCAAGAAACACTGAAGGACTTTGGGGCAGATATTTTTACTTCTCGGTAACCCTTTTCCCTTACTTCTGGTTATACAGCTCTGTAAAGAGAAGATAAAGTTGCCAGAATTCTGACTTCTGGATATATGGAATAGCTGCCATATTTTCAAGCATACACTATATATGACCACAGAAATAGGAAACAAAATACATACAAGTCTGTTTTTTGGGGTTTATTTTGCGGTACGCGGGCCTCTCACTGTTGTGGCTTCTCCCATTGCGGAGCACAGGCTCCGGACGCGCAGGCTCAGCAGCCATGGCTCACGGGCCCAGCCGCTCCACGGCATGTGGGATCTTCCCGGATCGGGGCACGAACCCGTGTCCCCTGCACCGGCAGGCGGACTCTCAACCACTGCGCCACCAGGGAAGCCCCACAAGTCTGTTTTTAAAAGGGTAGCATAGGGTGGGGAAGAGGATTGAGACAGATTATAACAAGAATATTCTATACTCTGCATTCTTTTGATTATTATGTAGTTTCAGATTTGAAAGTCACAAGCTCTCAGCTACTATTTAAAGTTCTAGTCATTGTTACTACTTGTATGGTAAAGTAAACCTCAAGAATTCTCGAGTAAATTCTAGGACAAGTCCACAAAATGGGGCTTGAGGAAGAAGAGAAAAGCATAGTTATTGCTCTATTAGATTTATAAAGATGACAGGCTACATGAAATGAAAATCATATCTTGTTATTTCTTTAAAATCCACAGAGATGTTTTATGTCTATTTACTTTTATATCTAAATCTAGCACCTAAAAATATGTCTCCTCATTATCAGTTTCTGTTTTTTCTCCTCCCTCAATTAGCATGACTTTGTTCGAAGAGACCGGCCACTACGTGTCCTAATTGACCTCATACAGAGGACAAAAGATGCTGTTCGTGAGCTAGATAACCTACAGTACCGGAAAATGAAAAAAATCCTTTTCCAAGAGACACGAAATGGACCCTTGAATGAGTCACAGGAAGATGAAGAAGTAGGTTGAGTTTATTTTAACAGGCACTTATAGAATGCCTACTATGTGAAAGTGTTCTGGACCAGCGCGCTATGAAAAACACTTTGGGGAATAACAATGTAATTGATGTTCTCTGCCTTAAGAGACATGCAGAGTTGCAGAAGAGACATTCATAAAATAACTCTTATATAAGGCAAAATATGAAAAATGCTGTAGAGGGAGAGCACACGGCAGGGGCCATAGTGGGGAGAGAAAAAGTCATCAGCTGGTGGGGATTAGTGAAGAGGTGGGCCGTTTCTGACAGGCAGGCCTAGGGCATTTTAGACTCAGGGAAGTGCGGTGCTTTAGGAAGATTATCCTGGCATCAGAGTGTAAGATGGATTTGAATAGGTAACATTCTGGATAATAATCCATGCAAGAGGTGGTAAGGGTAGTGTCTATGGGAATCAGGGGAAAAGGAACACTTAAGAAACACTGTAGAGGTAGATTTGATAATCCAGTGCTTCTCATTGACAGTGACAGATGAGGAGGAATTTACGGTGACTCTGAGCATTTGAGCCTAGGTGACTAGAGTATGTCAATACCAAGAACAGAGAAAAAGGACAGAGGAGAAAGAGGAGGTTAAGCATGATTTCAGTTTGATGCCTACTGAGTCTTAACTTCCTGGCATCATATGCTACTGACACAGTGTACAGATGGAGGTTTTAAAGAAAGATGACTTTCTGGTTTCTCATTGAAATAACTTAAGAAGGATTGGTCGAAGGGAAGGGTAATGACAATTGGGACACCTGAACGGAGATATCTAGCATTTGGTTGGGAAATACAGATCCAGAACATAAGAAAGAGGTCTGGGTAAAGGATAGTTGGACAGAGGTCAAGGACATTAAAATGATGATGAATCAAGTTGCTGAATGTAGTATGAGACGAGGGTCCATGCCACATAAGAGGGAGACCTGGTTGATAAAGGCATCACAGATGTTACGAGTGTACACAGCTTCAAGGAGGGAGCAGCCAATACCATCAGATGCCACAGAGCAGTCAAATTACATAAGGACCAAAAACGGTGTTAACTGGGTTTTACAAGTAGGGCCTTCTTGATGACCTTAGTGAAAGTAGTTTTACAGGAATAGTTAGGATAAATAGTAGATTACCATGGGTTGTAGAATAAATGGGAAGTGAGAAGACAGAGATAGCGAAAGTTGGTTATTTTAAGATTCGTAAATTTGGCCAAGAAGGAAAAGTGACAAAGGGCAGTAGGTAGAAAGGTATATACATATAGGGCAGCCCTCTTCATATTTATATGCAGAAGGAAAGGAGCCAGGACAGAGGCATTGGAGATAGAGGAATGATGCAGTTAAAGAAGTAGGATCTCAGGAAGTGCATAACAGTAAGAGCATTAGTGCAGGGATTAGCCTTGAACAAAAGAAAGGACTCCTCTTCCTCTAAAAATAGATTTAAAAATAGGAAAAGAATGAAGAATGAATTTTAGTTTAGCTTTCTAATATAAAAGACAATAAAATTATTTTATCAATAATTATAAAAATGAAATTAAGATAGCTGAATTGGAATATAAAGTCTCTTGATTGTATGTATACAAATGAGCCCTTTTAATTGGGAAAATAAGTCTATTAAAAATATAATGTATTATCTATCATTTTAAATTACCCAAATTACCTTTGTCAGTGATTCCTTATATTACCATGGCTAAGTAACAATTCATTAAAGTTATGTATGTACAGCATGGTTCTTTGAAAATAGGGGTTTTTTGGAGCTAAGTTTCTTTAATTATATTATTTAATCTTGTATCGAAAGATATCCCACTGTGATGGATAAATTATATGTTCTGATTATTTTATCACTTCTCAAATAGTAGTCTTTGGATGAGTAGTGATGAATACCAGTATTACTTGACAGATATATTTAATAAGATTACAGAGGCAAGCATGATAGAATTGCCTGAGGGAGGCAGAATTTAATTACCTGTCCAGGACAGTAGAATTAATATCCCTGCTTAGATATGAAGTTACTCAGTAATGACTTGCAAAGGACCATATTGTTTGTCAAATCTCTGAAAGCTCTCTTCACTCGCTTTGAGTTTCAAGTGACGACTGCCGTGTTTGTAGATATCCTAGAGGTCCCCTGTTCAGTAGCCTGCGGTCTTTCCCTAGATATCCTAGAGGTCCCCTGTTCAGTAGCCTGCGGACTTTCCCTAGCACCCTGATGTTCCTGAAGGTCTCTCAGAAACCTGGCCTGGTTCTGATTACCGAATAGCAATACAATAATATGATAGTCGCACATCAGAGGAAAAGTCGCATATGACAGAGTCGCATATGACAGAGGAAAGCCCTGGCATAGCAGCATTTGGAGCCTTATGACCCATGCCCAGAATAGCCCCTGTGGAAGGCATAGAAGTGAATTGAAGGTGTCAGAAAATGGTAGGGGAGTAGTGGAGCCACTACATTAAAAGTTTATCCTTGCAGATTTGGCAGAAAAGCAACCTGGCACTGCAAAATTGAGTGTACTTAATAGCTTAGTCAATGGATTGGTACTTTATCTCCAGTCATTTTTTTTTAACCCAAGTGCCCCATTTTTATAGGACAGCGAACATGGAACCAGCCTGAGCAGGGAATTGGACAGCCTGGGCAGCAACCATTCCATCCCAAGCATGTCTGTGAGCACAGGCAGCCAGAGCAGCAGTGTGAACAGCATGCAGGAGGTCATGGATGATAGCAGCTCGGAGCTTGTCATGATGCATGATGATGAAAGCCCAGTAAATTCCAGTTCCTCTGTTGTGCACAGGAAGGTAAGTTTCATGGTCCCCTTCACAGCACTAGGCTTTGCCAATCATAATGAAGCCAGATCAGGTCACTTAGCAACCAGATATTTTAGTTCCCCTTTCACAACTGAAATGTGGGACTCAACCTAGCACATGATAGTTCTTTTATGGTAAAAAGATAATGTAGGACTAGGCAAGCTGTATCTGTGCCTATTTCTTTTATTATTATTTATTTATTTATTGGCTGCGTTGGGTCTTCGTTGCTGTGCATGGGCTTTCTCTAGTTGTGGCGAGTGGGGCTACTCTTTGTTGCAGTGCATGGGCTTCTCATTGTGGTAGCTTCTCTTTGTTGCACAGCATGGGCTCTACTCACACGGGCTCAGTAGTTGTGGCCAACGAGCTCTAGAGCGCAGGCTCAGTAGTTGTGGCACATGGGCTTAGTTGCTCCATGGCATGTGGGATCTTCCCCAACCAGGGCTCGAACCCTTGTCCCCTGCACTGGCAGGTGGAGTTTTAACCACTGCGCCACAAGGGAAGTCCCTATGTACTTATTTTAATAAGTATCAGTGATCACAGTCTAATTCCAGTAGGTGAGCAAGTTTAAGAATTTTTTTCACTATTAAGTGTGCATTTTTCTTGGAAGAAGAAGGAAATTGAACAGGTAAGGATGAAAGGCATGAGAAAACATATTGGTGCCCAGTCATGAATAGTGGAGGGATTACATTTATTTTCTGAACTGATTAACTTATTCATTTATTCAACAAACATTGGTGGGGATCTTTATTATCTGCTAGGAACTATGGTAGGCCCTGTGGATACAGACAAAACAGACATGATGCCTTCATGGAGCTTATTATCTGTGGGGGAGAGTAAGCAAATAATCACACAAGTAACTTTATCATGTAATTATAAAACTTGTTCTGGGTAAAAGGAGGACTTAATCTAGCAGGGAGTAGGGGAAAGTCTCCCCAGTAAAGTGACATTTAAGCTAAAACTTCAGAAACAAATAGAAGTTAGCTACCTTGGGGTGAAAGATTGGGGTGAGTCAGGAAGCAGCATGTACAGAGGCCCTGTGACAAAAGGAACTTTGTATGTTCAAGGACGAAGGGAAGGATCTGAGAGATTAGAGTTTGGTGAACTACATAGAAAGTGAATTGAGACCAGAGAGACAGCAAGGACCCAGATTATTAGAAAACCATAAAAGCATTTTGAGGAAAGGAGTGATAGCATGCAGATGCGGAAATCTGCTAAGAGTTCAGCATTGTCAGCTGTCCTTCTTTGAACTTGGGCAAGTGGTCATGTATTTGAAAGGTTGAAAAGAAGGTTTTGCTGGGCTCTCTTTTTGGAAGGAGCTATCATGGATGCTGATAGAGATCGACTTTTTCCTTTCCGTTACCTCTGGGGCTCCGTGGGGATAGAGAGCAAAAGAGGAATTCTGTTGGATCTTTTTACTCCAGGACCTCTCAAATGAGCACCCAAAATTAGAAGAGAGACTCTACTGGCATAATCAACAAGAAAAAAGACTCTGGTCTTGAACTCATTGGGGGTTTTAATTTTCATTTTTACATGCCAGTATAGAGCTTTCTTGTAATAATATGGGCCTTTCAATACTTTTTTCTCCTTGGTGTAATCAAGGTTAAGAAAACCAGATGTTAATTTATAGTCTGAAATATCAACTGAGTAAAAGGGAAACCCACAGAATGGGAGAAAATATTTGCAAATCATCTATCTTATAAAGGATTAATATCCAGCATATAGAGAGAACTCCTAAAACTCAACAACAGCGAAAAAACAACCTGAATCAAAAATGAGAAAAGAGGCTTCCCTGGTGGCACAGTGGTTAAGAGTCTGCCTGCAGATGCAGGGGACACAGGTTCATGCCCCGGTCCGGGAAGATCCCACATGCCACAGAGCGGCTAGGCCCGTGAGCCATGGCCGCTGAGCCTGCGTGTCCAGAGCCTGTGCTCCGCAACGGGAGAGGCCACAACAGTGAGAGGCCCGCTTACCACAAAAAAACAGATGGCTTCACAGGCGAATTCTATCAAACATTTAGAGAAGAGCTAACACCTATTCTTCTCAAACTCTTCCAAAATATAGCAGAGGGAGGAACACTCCCAAACTCATTCTACGAGGCCACCATCACCTTGATACCAAAACCAGACAAGGATGTCACAAAGAAAGAAAACTACAGGCCAATATCACTGATGAACATAGATGCAAAAATCCTCAACAAAATACTAGCAAACAGAATCCAACAGCACATTAAAAGGATCATACACCATGATCAAGTGGGGTTTATTCCAGGAATGCAAGGATTCTTCAATATACGCAAATCTATCAATGTGATTAACCATATTAACAAATTGAAGGAGAAAAACCATATGATCATCTCAATAGATGCAGAGAAAGCTTTTGACAAAATTCAACACCCATTTATGATAAAAACCCTGCAGAAAGTAGGTGTAGAGGGAACTTTCCTCAATATAATAAAGGCCGTATATGACAAGCCCACAGCCAACATCATCCTCAATGGCGAAAAACTGAAAGCATTTCCACTAAGGTCAGGAACAAGACAAGGTTGCCCACTCTCACCACTCTTATTCAACATAGTTTTGGAAGTTTTAGCCACAGCAATCAGAGAAGAAAAGGAAATAAAAGGAATCCAAATCGGAAAAGAAGAAGTAAAGCTGTCACTGTTTGCAGATGACATGATACTATACATAGAGAATCCTAAAGATGCTACCAGAAAACTACTAGAGCTAATCAATGAATTTGGTAAAGTAGCAGGATACAAAATTAATGCACAGAAATCTCTGGCATTCCTATATACTAATGATGAAAAATCTGAAAGTGAAATCAAGAAAACACTCCCATTTACCATTGCAACAAAAAGAATAAAATATCTAGGAATAAACCTACCTAAGGAGACAAAAGACCTGTATGCAGAAAATTATAAGACACTGATGAAAGAAATTAAAGATGATACAAACAGATGGAGAGATATACCATGTTCTTGGATTGGAAGAATCAACATTGTGAAAATGACTCTACTTCCCAAAGCAATCTATAGATTCAATGCAATCCCTATCAAACTACCACTGGCATTTTTCACAGAACTAGAACAAAAAATTTCACAATTTGTATGGAAACACAAAAGACCCCGAATAGCCAAAGCAATCTTGAGAACAAAAAATGGAGCTGGAGGAATCAGGCTGCCTGACTTCAGACTATACTACAAAGCTACAGTAATCAAGACAGTATGGTACTGGCACAAAAACAGAAAGATAGATCAATGGAATAGGATAGAAAGCCCAGAGATAAACCCATGCACATATGGTCACCTTATCTTTGATAAAGGTGGCAGGAATATACAGTGGAGAAAGGACAGCCTCTTCAATAAGTGGTGCTGGGAAAATTGGATAGGTACATGTAAAAGTATGAGATTAGATCACTCCCTAACACCATACACAAAAATAAGCTCAAAATGGATTAAAGACCTAAATGTAAGGCCAGAAACTATCAAACTCTTAGAGGAAAACATAGGCAGAACACTCTATGACATAAATCACAGCAAGATCCTTCTTGACCCATCTCCTAGAGTAATGGAGATAAAAACAAAAATAAACAAATGGGACCTAATGAAACTTCAAAGCTTTTGCACAGCAAAGGAAACCATAAACAAGACCAAAAGACAGCCCTCAGAATGGGAGAAAATATTTGCAAATGAATCAACTGACAAAGGATTAATCTCTAAAATTTACAGGCAGCTCATGCAGCTCAATAACAAAAAAATAAACAACCCAATCCAAAAATGGGCAGAAGACCTAAATAGACATTTCTCCAAAGAAGATATACAGACTGCCAACAAACACATGAAAGAATGCTCAACATCATTAATCATTAGAGAAATGCAAATCAAAACTACAATGAGATATCATCTCACACCAGTCAGAATGGCCATCATCAAAAAATCTAGAAACAATAAATGCTGGAGAGGGTGTGGAGAAAAGGGAACACTCTTGCACTGCTGGTGGGAATGTGAATTGGTTCAGCCACTATGGAGAACAGTATGGAGGTTCCTTAAAAAACTACAAATAGAACTACCATATGACCCAGCAATCCCACTACTGGGCATATACCCTGAGAAAACCATAATTCAAAAAGAGTCATGTACCAAAATGTTCATTGCAGCTCTATTTACAATAGCCCGGAGATGGAAACAACCTAAGTGTCCATCATCGGATGAATGGATAAAGAAGATGTGGCACATATATACAATGGAATATTACTCAGCCATAAAAAGAAACGAAATTGAGCTATTTGTAATGAGGTGGATAGACCTGGAGTCTGTCATACAGAGTGAAGTAAGTCAGAAAGAGAAAGACAAATACCATATGCTAACACATATATATGGAATTTAAGAAAAAAAAATGTCATGAAGAACCTAGGGGTAAGACAGGAATAAAGACACAGACCTACTAGAGAATGGACTTGAGGATATGGGGAGGGGGAAGGGTAAGCTGTGACAAAGCGAGAAAGAGGCATGGACATATATACACTACCAAACATAAAATAGCTAGCTAGTGGGAAGCAGCCGCATAGCACAGAGAGATCAGCTCAGTGCTTTGTGACCACCTAGAGGGGTGGGATAGGGAGGGTGAGAAGGAGGGAGACACAAGAGGGAAGAGACATAGGGATATATGTATGCGTATAACTCATTCACTTTGTTATAAAGCAGAAACTAACACATACACACACACACACACACACACACAAAAAGAAATTTTCTGTTTTAATGAAAAAAAATTATATTATCTTTAAACACAATAGAAGTCAATTATTCAGAAGTTTCATTATTTGTTGGTTTACTTGAATTCCTAAAAGTTTTCCACTTGGGAACATAAATAAAGTAGGATCTTAAATTCTCAATAGAAGGTTTTATATAGTAGACTATAGGAATGAGGAAACTAGTTTAAAGTTCTGTCTGCCACTGTTAGTTTTATTTTACTTTGGACAAGTCACAGACC